AGGCGCCGGCGAGCGCGGGAGCGGGCCCGCAGTGCCGAGCAGACGGCACACCGACGCCGCGAGCGTCTGCGCGGACACGCACACAGTGGGACAGGAGCGAGGCTCAAAGCTCTGGTACCTGAGGGAAGGCCGAGCTCCACCCGCACAGCGCTAGGACGGATCGACACACAACTCCGACGGGCACACGCAGCTGACAGAAAGGGCCCTCACACGCCGCGGCCCGACCCTCGGGCCCACGCAGGTACCCGCAGGACGCCCGGCCGCGCACTCCGCGGACGGAGCAGAGGGGGGGGGGCCTGCGGCTCTGCGCCTGCGCCTGGCGCTCTACGCCTGGGCGCCGGAACCGCCTTCTCCCACTCGGAAGCGCCTCGCTTCCTGCCACGGAACGTCACTTCCTGTTAGGGCGTGTCACTTCCGGCAGCACAGCCTCACTTCCTCTTTCTGTTCGCTCCTCGCTTGTGCGGTTCCGACATGCGCATCGAGAAGTGTTACTTCTGCTCTGGGCCCATCTACCCCGGCCACGGCATGATGTTTGTACGCAACGACTGCAAGGTGAGAGGCCGCCGCCCCCGGGAACGGTTCTGAGCCCACCGGTGGGGCCGTCCCCGGGCGGCGTCGCCGCTGGAGCCCGGGGACGCGGGGGCGGCGCTTAGCCGCTCGATGCGGGGCCTGCCGGGGACAGCGGGCGCGCCGGGCAGCCGCGGCGGAGTCCGAAGAGTGGAAGGAGGCTGGGCAGTTGGTTGTGCAGGAGGCCGGGCCACGGCTCCAGGCGAACGCACCCAGCAGTCACCAGCGCTTCGGCTCCCCTCGGACATCGGCGTGCGCGCCGCCCTGCCCTCAGCACCGGCCGCGCCCTTCCCCGCGCTCAGGACCCGGGCCTGGTTCTCCCGGCCGTGCGGGGCCACGCCTGGGTTTGACACGGCCGTCCCACGTGCTTGGAGTTGAAGCTGTGCCTGCTCGTCTGCGTCTGACCGGGCCCGGGGGCGTCGCCTGGTGGGGAGCAGGGCCCCGCCGTCTGGGGAACGCGGACGCTCAGGAGACGAGCCCAGGGTCCCGCGTCGAGACGGACCCGCCGGGGGCGCTGCGATTCTGTGCGCGACCCGGCGGTCACTTTCTGGCTGATGTCACACGCAGTTTCCTAGGTTGGGATCGTGCGGTGGATCCGGGCCAGGGCGCCGGGTGTGCGGTGGGAGACACAGTGGGGCGGAAGGCTGTGCTGGCTGCACTGCGCTCAGCCTGGCCCGGGAGGAGCAGGGGACCCAGAGCAGAGAACGAGAGGAGGAGGCCCCGCAGCGCTAGCAACGAACAGACATCGGATTTCCCAACCGGTATCTTCTCAGTCAGCGCCATTGGATGGGGAAATTCTGCTCTTTCCTCGCAGTGGACCTGCCGGAAGGGAAAACCTTACGACCTAAGTCTTTCTGGTCTCTGAATTAACACCATCCTCACGTGCCTGGAGGGTGGAAATGTGAGGCCCTCTTTGAACCTTTGCTACAAACACCTTTACTTCGTGTTTGTTTTTCTGCTCGTTTTGCTTTCCTCGGGTCGGTGATGCCTGGGCCTTCTTTTCGCCTGCCTCTTGCAGCATGTAGTCCAGATTAGGTGCTGGGCACTTCGGTAGCCTCCTCGCTCGGGCTCAGCCCTTATTCTCGTGGCGTGTGAGACTACTTTAGGGAGTCTTAAGGGCGGATTTAGCACGAATGCTCCGTGATTCCGCATACTTCGCAAACAGGAAGAACACATGCACCTTTAATGATGGCTTCCTGTTTGTTGAATTAGTGAAATGAAAAAGGCTTAAATTTTGAGGCCAAGGTGTTAGGTGTTTGTTGACTCCTTGGAGACCGAGGTGATGGGGCCAGGTTCAAGGGAGAGGGGAGCCCTGGGGCTTCACCTCATCAGGGTGCCTCCCCAAGTAGATTTTGCCACTGTGTGTTTCTGTGTGACTTCTGCATTGCTGTACATAGCCTTATCTCATATTTTATGTACGGCCTGATCTCTGTCCTTGTTTGCCAAGTGAGACCGTCGCATTGTCAGACTGTGTCTGCAGTAGGGTACCGTGTTTCAGTTGTCAGACTGTGTCTGCAGTAGGGTACCATGTTCCAGTTGTCAGACTGTGTCTGCAGTAGGGTACCATGTTTCAGTTGTCAGACTGTGTCTGCAGTAGGGTACCGTGTTTCAGTTGTCAGACTGTGTCTGCAGTAGGGTACCATGTTTCAGTTATTCCCGTGTCCCTGTCACTTTAGTACCAGGCACGCAGAGTTCCTTCTGTGCGGATCAAATTCCCATGAGGGCTCCATTGCCTCCAGTCCACTCAGACCCTGCCTGGTACCTGTTAGACTCAAGTGGACGTCTCATTGGCTCTGTGTAGCGCTGTGAAGACCAGAACAAGCTGCAGCCCTCACTAGATAGATCTCAGAAAGGAGATCAGAACCGACCTCATGCCCATTCCCGGATTCAGGACCTGGGCCTGGTTCCCCTGGCCATGCTGGGGCCAAGCCTGGTATGGTGTCAAACCTAGGGCTTATCTGTTAGGTTTTCAGTGTTGGAGGCTTTCACCCTAATTTAAAAGATAATGGTATTTGGGCTGAAAATACGCAAATAAAATGGATAATTTCATTACTATGGGAGACTAGAGCAGTTTTGATATTTTTGAGTTGATATGAAGTTGGCTCAGGAATAAACGCGCTCTCCTTCAGGTCTCAGGTAGTCTGGGCCCAGATCCCATTATACTGTGCTTAGTAGTTCCCTGTAGAACAAAGTCTGTAAAGTGAGTGTTATGATACATGTATGTGCTTTCTTAGTTTGAAGTGTTTATACTGTTTATTTAACCTGTTTTATTGGGTGACCCTTTATAGGTGTGACACTAATTAATTTTGCTTGCAAAGATCCATGAACCTCAAGGAATTACTTTGCCCGCTTGCCCTAGTAACACACATTTCAGTTTATTCTAAGACATTGCATGGTAACAAAGTGCAGCTTAGTTTCCATTCTCTCCTGCTTTAAGCAACTCAGGATGGTGTGAGTGAGTGGGGCTTTTGGATGAGGCCTGAGGCCGGCGATCCTTTCTCAGACTTGGCATTGTTTTTTTGTCGGACAGGAGTAACAGCCTATGATGGAAGTTTATAATGTTGACTTTTCAATATTTTAACCTTTCTTGTAGGTGTTCAGATTCTGTAAATCCAAATGTCATAAAAACTTTAAAAAGAAGCGCAATCCTCGCAAGGTCCGGTGGACGAAAGCATTCCGGAAAGCTGCCGGCAAAGAGCTGACAGTGGTGAGTATAGTTAGCTGTCAGGATACATTTTATGATTTTCAAAATTTAATTTTTTGGGGGTGGGAAACTGTCATCTAATTAACCCGAACAAGGGTTCCTGTAACATGGTTGTGAGTGCTTTTTCGTGCATTTGGCTATGGAAATAATCTCATCCTCACGTGGTTCTGGAAACTACCATTCTGTAGACTTTCAAAAGGGAAACTTCCCAGTTCAGTTTTGTGATTTTTGTTACCCTTAAAAACGTTTTTATTTCTTGCAAGGAGGGAAATCACTTAAATGGATTGGGGTGAAGTTGGAGATTGCTACTCAAGGATTTTGAGACAAAGTTAAGAAATTAATTTTTTTTTTTTTGGCTTTTTTTAAGATGGTCTCACTATGCAGTTCAGGCAGGACTTGAGCTCATTTTGTAGCCCAGGTTGGTCTTGAACTCCCAAAGATCCTCCTACCTCAGCCTCCCGAGTGCTGGGATGACAGGCATGTGCCACCACACTGTTCAGCTATTTTTGATCTGTAGAAAATGGCAGTTTTGTGAATTGGACTTGAATGCAGCTCTCTGGCTGCGTCTGGCCTGGGGTGGGTTGGGCGGCCTTTCCTGCTTGTTGGTGATCTCAGGGTGAGTGTAGCCTTCTGCTTTTCAGTCAGCCTCAGGCAGCAATGTTTTCTGTGCCTGTGGGTATGGAGGGAGAAAGGCTGAGTGCCTGCATTCTCAGGGACAGGAGTGGGGGGGGAACCTCGGTATGCACCCCCAGGGTGCTTGGGGGGAGGGGGTATTTTAAGAATCACTTCCTTTCTACCTCTTACCAGCCCTCTGCTTCTTCTAGGATAATTCATTTGAATTTGAAAAACGTAGAAATGAACCTGTCAAATACCAGCGAGAACTGTGGAATAAAACTAGTAAGTCACAGGGAATTCTGGGATTTTGAGGAGGAGACTGGTGGGAGGTGGGGAGGTGATGACACTTCAGAGGTCAGGTGTTGCATAAACAGTTCCTTACTTTCAGTTTTGCCTTTTATCCTCATTTGAATGACTGTGTTACATTTACAACTTTATGAGTTACCTTTTTTGTTTGTTCGTTTGTTTTTGTTTTTTTCCGTCTACTGAAATCAAACTCAGGACCTTGCGCTTGCCAGGCAGGTGCTGTGCCGCTGAGCTAAATCCCCAGCCCGCGTGAATTATCTTAAGTGCGTTTAAAATTGGTGATATATCCATCATAAAAATAATATTAGGAAACGTGAAGTGCCCACATTGAGATGTAAAACATACAGAAATTGGGGGGAAAGAAAGAGAAAGAAAATACTTTTTAATGTGATTGTGGCACGGTTAAAATTTACAAAAACCCTAGGGTGCATTATAAATTTAGTCATTTAGTTTAGAGATGTAAGCTATTTTCCTGTACCATATATAATTTAGTACTGTGGTGGGTTTTGTATCCCCCTTTGGTACTGGGATTGAATTCAAGACATTTGTACTGACCTGCATCCCCAGCCTGAGACATTGTAAGTTGCCCAGAGTGGGCTCGAACTTTTGCTCTTTCTGACTCAGCCAGAGTTCTGGGAATGCAGGCTTGCACCACCTTGCCTGGCAGTTCAGTGCTTCTTTATAGTTAAAAAGTGTGGCACTTAAAGTGGTCATTACAAACTTTCGAACAGAACTATTGAATGCTTGACTTGGGTCAGAGTGAAGTCGAAGGCTGTGGAAACTGAGGGTAGTCATACCCGGCTCTTGTGTGTTTTGGAAGTGGCCGGAGGCTTGTAGAAAGACTCCAGCAAGCTTGCGGGCCCTGGCGTGTGGGTGTGGGTGTGGGTCTCAGCTGGGCCCTTTCCACACACTTGCCCAGCCCACGGACTTACAGAGGACAGAAAGGCTGCCCAGCTTCATGACAGGGTTTGCACTGTCAAAACTTTGCTTGTCTCCCTCACTCTTACTTAGAAATCAGAGTCCAGCTATGCAGTTGGCTATGCAGTTGGCTTTCCCACATAGCTATTTTCTATTTCTTAAAGTTTTCCCTTTAGTTTTTAATTAGAGGAAGAGCTAATTTCTGAAAAGCATGTGCTGTTGGGTTAAATGATAAGGAGATAACGCGTGGATTCTGAGTGTATCCAGAGCAGTGGCCGTGCCGCAGGGGGCTGTTTGTGAAACATGGGTGAAAGCTCTAACGGTTTGCCGTCACTGCTCTGGAGTTGCAACCTCACAGGAGCCTCGGGTTGTCTCCAGAGGTGCGCATGCAGGGCATTGTCAAACGGTCCTGAAGCCCTTCTGGGCCCCAGAAGTGAAACTTCGTTTCAGTTTGACTTTCTCCCTCTTTGTGTTGCGCTCAAAGACAGCAACCCCAGTGCCCTGTGGCATGGCCTGGTCTGGGCGGGCGACCACCTGCTCCTGGCACTGTGTGCGACTGGCCTTGTGCGTGTTCTGACGTCTTCGGTGCCAACTTTGGTATGGCCCTGTGTCTGGGGCTCGGCGCACACTCGCAGGCACTGCCCGAGGGGAGCCCTGCCCCCCGGAGCCCTCTCGTCCAGGGCCCCTCTGTGCGATTCGCCTTGGGCTCCTTGCAGTCCTGCCGCTGCCCCACTCCTTGCGCTTCTGGGGAGTCCGGAAGAAGTGATGCTTTCTGCATTCCTCTCTGTGCAGATGCTGTTGCCCTTTTTCACTGGGATCCTAAACATAGACTTTTGCAGATTTGCTGGGTATCGGCTGAGTCCTGAAGTTGTTTCCTACAATTACACAATTACTGAGATTTGTCAGTAGAGTCCCAGAAAGCACTCTGCTCTTTTTTTTCGGTAACAGGAATTGAACTGGGGACCTTGTGCTTGCCAGGCAGGCACTTGTGCCACTGAGCTGTATCCCTGGCCCTCGGCTCTTTTCAAGAGGTCGGTTCATCCTGGATCACCTCCCTGCGGGTCGCTGTGTCCTGATTGAGATGTGCTGTGCATGGAAAATGCAGGACGCACTGAAGATTTAGGGTGAAAGAGGAGTAAAATACCACATGTGGTGTCCTGCATCTGACAGCACTGATGGGGATTCGAGGATGTCCATAGATTGGAGTCACAACCTTACAGCCCTCGCCTGCGGGTGTCCTAAGTGGTTGGACCGCTGTGATTGGGAACGGGAAGGGTGGTGGTGGGGCTCTTTCCCCTTCCCCCATTCCCCCATGGCATGCGGACGCTGTCCGTGGTCCTGCAGATGGTGCTTGCAGCAGAAAGTCTGCCTGTGATTACCGAGGTTGCAAACCAAGAGCAGGCAGCGCCAATAATCCGGATTCTCTGTAGAACACAATTTGAAAAGCATTCATCTGGCTTAACGTAGAAGGAAAGTGAGCAGCAATAAAGGCTTTTGCGAAATAAAAACTGGAGAAATGACCTTTGTGAAAGAGAATGTGGAAACCACGGCAAGGAGGAGTTGCCTTGATTTCTTCAGCGGGGATTGTTTGGGTGGTACATGTTTCACTGAAATGTATTTCTGCCGATGGAGTGAGTGATTGTTTGGGTGTTACATGTTTCACTGAAATGTATTTCTGCCGATGGAGTGAGTGAATGCACGTGATGATTGCAGTCGCGCTGCTTGAGGTGTAAGTTTGCTGACTGCAGTGATTTTCGTTGCAGTTGACGCAATGAAGAGAGTCGAGGAGATCAAGCAGAAGCGCCAGGCCAAGTTCATCATGAACAGGTATGGACGTCGGGGAGCAGCTCCTGAGAAAGTAACTTGCGGCGGGGGTCGAGGCGTGCAGGCCACGTCGCAGCTCCTTTGTGTGGCCTGGCCGTGGGCTGTCCTCCAGCAGGTGTGAGTGGGCGCCAGGGGCAGGACGGACGTCACAGAGCTAATAGTGTGTCCTTGTCACGTGCTGCGCCAGGAGGGCCGGGTGCCACTCATGCAGAGCTCTGGCCCTCCGTCCAGTGGCACCTTCCAGCCCTGGGCAGACGCCTTGCCATTGCGTGAGTCACTCTTGTGATTGTTGCACAGTGGTGATTTGTTGGTTGCATCCTTTTTCGGGCATTTTCCTCCTACCTTTTCCCGAATTTTAAAACGTTTCTCTGTCGTTTATTTGTGTTGTGTCTGTACGCGTGTGGATGCTTGGGGTGTTCATTGTCTGCTCTGGTGGCCTGCGTTGGGCCGTGTGCCGGACGTTCCCTCTCGCCCGGATCGCTCCGGGAGTGCTTTGCTGTTCTGTGGCTGCCAAGCATCCAGCCTCTTCCTCGACCGCGCTTCATTGCCCAAGCCTGGAAGCGGCTGTTGTTGGGAGCTGCAGCCATGTCCTGTGGTCACTGTGGAGGCGCAGCAGCTTCTGGCACACGGGAGGTCCCAGCACGTCAGAGGAGCTGTGTGGGGCGCACCGGGCCGGCTAGGCCAGGTGTGAAGGCATGCCTGTGATGCAGCACCCAGGAGGCCGAGGCAGGGTGATCTCCGAGAGTCCAAGGCCAATATGGACTCCATAGTGACACCCCACCTCAAAAAAACCACACGCTAATTTCCATGATGCAGAAAAGACCTAGGTGCAGTACTAGGTGTGTTCCCTAGTAAGGCCACAGGTAGTGATGTCACAGACCCTGGTTCATGAGGTCATTGGTTCTTCACAGTCATTCTTCCTTCAGTCAGAAAGCAGAGTACGCGCTTGTGTTCAGGCAAGGTAGGACTGGATGCTGTGTTCAAGTTCTGGAAGCCAATGGGCCCCTGCACGCTCAGCAGGGCATCTTGCTGTCTAGGTGTCCCTGTCCCTGGGAGGGAGGGAGGGGACTCACCGCCTGCTCTGGAGTGGTGGGCTTGGGTCCTGCTGGGCGGGCGGAGAGGTGTGGGAGGGAGGGCACGCCTGGTTCTGGCCCTGCTGGGCTGTCTTTGCTGCGTTTAGTAGCCATGCTGTGAATTGCCGTCTTCTAGAGAAGTTCTGCATCTGAGATTTTGGCCTTGCTGTGTTTGACCCTAGGCTGAAGAAGAACAAGGAGCTCCAGAAAGTGCAGGACATCAAGGAGGTCAAGCAGAACATCCACCTCATCCGGGCCCCGCTCGCAGGTGAGCTTGCCCTCTTGAGTGCCGCTGTGAACTCAGTGTCCTCCCACAGTGCGTTCTGTACAGGACTCGTGTATAAAAGTCACTTCTAAC